ACAGAGTTCTCTCCTCTCCTCTCCTCTCCTCTCCTCTCCGCTGTCTTTGTGTCTTTGCAGAACGGAGAAGCTTCCCTGTTCGAGGTGAACATCCGCTACATCGGAGGGCTCCTGGCCACCTACTACCTGACAGGAGAGGAGGTTTGTCCCCAGAGCCCCAGGAAGGGCTGACAGAGCTCCCTCCCCAGCAGCTCCGCTCCGAGCATCACACAATCCCCCCACAACAGGCTAAACCCGTCCTTTTTGTGAATATGGAAATGCCACTAATGTTCCTTTAATTAAGCCTCGAATAATTACCTTGCACACACCGTGCACGGCTCATTTGCCAGAGATCTCTCCTCCTGTGGGCAATTCCAGCAAGACACGTTTGCAGTTGGACACATTGCTCCCCGGGGAAATGCCATTTGCAGAGGATCTTTGTCTTTGTGCTTGTTCCTCTCTCTTGCAAGTCGGGTGAGATTTCATCAGACATCATCCCAGATCCTGCCTCGGGCTAAAGGGGGGTGCTGAGGAGGGGCAGGTGCTCCACACTCAGCTGAGCATCCCTCTGGAGCAGGAATTCCCGAGATGAAGAAGGTGTCACAGCCCCTGTGGTGGATGCTGCATCCCCCTGGAGCTCTGGCTGGAGCAGGAGGATCTCATTTCCCTTCCCTCCCTCCTCCCCAGCCTGGGGAGGCTGGGGCATAATGCCATAATCTGTTTGATAATGTGCCTGGGCTGGAATTTTACAGCTGGCTGTGGGGGGGATGAGGAGATTATTCCTTTAGCTGAAACTCTGGCTCAGTTTAGTGAGGACTGACCCTAAGTGAGAGCTCAGCTCTGGGGCTGCCCCACCACAGAGGGTGGGAAGGCTCCTGCATAGTGACACCATTGATCCAGGAGCAGCTCTCTTACTTCAGCTGCATTTGAAATGAGTTCCAGGAATTACTTTCCTCTGAGATTTTCCTCCAGGGAAAACTCTCAAAGACTCAGTGCCCCAGCTCAGAGTCTGTCTCAGTGACAACTTCAACAGGTTTCAGATCAACAGAGCAAAAAGAAACCACATTAAACCATAAAACTCCAGCAGTGACCTCTTGAAGTCCCACCAGCAGCTGATGTCACTTACCCAGTCAGTGTCACTGGGCTGAAAGGCAAAAACCAGTCCCTGTTTCTTGCCTTCCCTTCTGAAGCAACCCCCTGTTCCCTCGTGAGAGTATCAAAGGTCTGAGAGCCCACAGGAGAGCTCAGGTTTCCTCAGTGCTGTATTTTTAGAGCAATAAATTCCTGCTTTCTGCGAGCCACCACCACAGGGCTAGAGGTAAAAGGCTTGTGCTTTATCTCCTAAGTCACTTAGAGGCTTCTCTTGATCAGGACTAATCTCTGCAGCCAAGATTAGTGCTTGTATCAGTTTGTCCCAAAATAATTGTTTTGCAACCATAAGCTGCAATTTGACTGGAAAGCCCAAAAGTGAGGCATTACCGATGGAAAAGGAGCAGCTTAGCCATGAAACCACGAATCCTCCTTGGCAAAAAGCTGCAAGGAGAAGATTCCTTGGAGATCACGGTTTTTACAACAGGATGTGACATGAGCTGGGCAAGCCCAGGCTGTAAATCTAACAGTGCTTCAGCCTAGAGAGATTTCTTCAGGTTTTAACTCAGTCCTTTCAGCTCCTCGTGTTCCCTGCCATCCTGGGAATGGGAAGAATTTGGAGAGCACTCTGGGGCAGCTCAGATCACAGGGTGCTGTTGTGAGCTGCTCTGGTCCAAGCTGAGGCTTTGGCAGGGGACTGGGCGCTGGTTTAGTGCAGATTTTAGAGGAAATTTAGAGATGCCAAAGTTCAGTGAGACTTTTGGCTCAGATTTTTTTGTGCATGGGGAACCAGGGCACAGCACACCTGGATCAGGGAGATCTCAGACTGCAGCACTTCCAGTGCTTTATAACAGCAAAAAGGGGAAGTGAGAGAATCCTGTGTGGCTCAATTCATCAAATATTTATCCTCTCTTTAACAGGTGTTCAAGAGCAAAGCTCTGGAACTTGGGGAGAAACTTCTGCCAGCCTTTAACACCCCCACTGGAATCCCACGTGGAGTCATCAACCTGGGCAGGCAAGGCACAAGTTCTCACCAGTATTTCCTTTAGTTCTGGGAGTTTGGGAAGGAGGAGGGGCAGCAGCAGCTCCTCAGAGCAGATTCCTCGAGGCCATTTGCTTTGTCTGCTCGGACCTTGGCACAGATTTCAGGTGGCTCAGGTCAAACCCAGCTGTGTTTTATTAATTTGGGGCTGTCCACAGTTTCTTCCTCTTCTCCTGACAGGGCTCCCTGCTGCAAGAGCATTTTCCTCACTCTCCTTTTCTTTGAAAGGTGATTTTGTAGTCTGCTCGTAGCATGGATTCGTGCACTGTGCCCAGCTGGATGCATGTGAATTTATCCATGAAAATTGGATTTAAAAACTTGGGAAAATTGGGAAAGAGAGTGGATGGGACTGGCTGACAGTTTTGGTGCTGGAAAAGGGGAATACAGCACACAGCCAAGCTCTGTCCTTCCTTAGAGCCCCAGAATTCAGGCTGGTGATGTTCTCATGGCCAGGGGAGGCAGCTGAGTTCAATAAATCCCTGCAGAAGCTCTGGCAGCAAACAGAGGCAGAGCTGGGGCTGCCCTCCTTCTCCCCAGCTCTCCTGGCAGACAATTCCCTGCCAGCGAGGATTTGGATTTGCTGGTTCTGATGCCTCCAAACAAATCCTGCGGGTGAGAGCTGCGGGAAATGTGGGTTAACAAAGCTTTTCATCCTCACCTCTTGTGAAACTCTGAAAGTCATTATCCAGCCCTTAGCCCAAATCTCCTCCTTGGCTCTTTGGAAGCAAAAGACTTCCAAATATTTGGTTCACGCTGCTGCGTTGCTCAAATATCACTGTCACCCCTCAGTTGTCTGATGTGCTCCTGATCCCGGGGAAAATTGGAGCCACCAGCAGCTCTGTAATTGTCCTTTTTCACAGCACAGACATCCTGCTTCCTCCGTGGCTGATAAAGGCTCTGCATAGACTAACCTTTCACAGAAATGCCAAACCCTCCCCTGCCCTTTGTGAAGACAATTGGAGCAGCCTCTGTCTGCCCAGACATTCCCAAAATGTTTTGCTGGTGACCTTGAGTGAGAGCAGAGAAAATGGACAGAACAGCCAGCCCATGGCCAGAGCTGCCTGGAGCTCTGGCTTGGAGGATGGAGTGCCAGCTGGTTTTTGGGAGCAGGGATGGAGGGAGCAGCATCCCCAGCCTGAGCTGCTGCAGGAACAGATGAAAAGGGCTGTGAACCCCAGGGGAAAGGAATCACTCAGTGTTCGAGCAGAGGAGGGCGAGGTGAGGCTGTGGGACCACGCTGACCCAAACATCAGGGCCAAAACAAAGCCCAGAAGAGTTTTGCAACAAGGAGTCCTCTCTCCAATTCTGCTTTTGTGAGGATGTGCTAATTCCAGAGGGACCTCAGCATCCCAGAAGGAGGAGGAGAGTCCTGCCCCGTGTGTGGGCCTCCCTTGGTGGCAGCTTGGGGGGGTGGGTTAAGGAGGACACTCAGAAATTTGAAACCAAAAAAACCCCCCTGGCATGGAGTCAATTCTGCACATTCATTTTGGAGGCCCCAAGCACAGACAGCCCCCCCAGCTCTTCCTTAACCATCTGCCTTTATCTCCTGCTGCCACCTTTTCCTCTGGGGTCCCCTCTCTGCTGCTGAGTTTCCTGTGGCCGCCTGCTTTCCCCTGGCTCTGTGTCCTGTCTCCCACAGCCTCCTTTCCATCCTGCTGCTCCAACTGCCACGTTTGCTGCCAGGGCCTGGAGTGCTCTGTGTGCTCCAGCTGCTGCTCTGTGACTGCTCTCCCTGCTCTGTGACTGCTCTCCCTGCTCTGTGACTCCTCTCCCTGGGCTGTGACTCCTCTCCCTGCTCTGTGACTGCTCTCCCTGCCCTGTAACTCCTCTCCCTGCTCTGTGGCTCCTCTCCCTGCTCTGTGACTCCTCTCCCTGCTCTGTGACTCCTCTCCCTGGGCTGTGACTCCTCTCCCTGCCCTGTGACTCCTCTCCCTGCTCTGTGACTCCTCTCCCTGCTTCCCCTGCTCCTGCTTCCCTTCACATCTCCCTAAACCCTCTGTCCCTCCACATTTCCCCTCCTCTCCTGGCCTCTCTCATCTCCTGGCACTGCTTTTGCAGCTCTGGATCCCCACGAGGGAAGGCAATGATTCCACATTTCAGACCCACTTATCTGGGAGATAAAGGAGGTTCTGGGCACGTTCTTTTCCCTCCGAGGCCAAGGTCCTTTGAACAGTAGCTTCCTCTGAGCTGTCAGAAATCAGAGCAGCTCTGAAGGCCCAGTTTGTCCTGCCTGTGAGGCTGACAAAATGTTTTCCTGCAGGGGGTCACTGCTCTCTAACCCAGGACACGTTGCAGATGGGCTCTGTTTCCTCCAGACCCCTCTCCAGCAGCTTTGCTGTGCTGTTTGACCCAAGGCTCAGGCTCCCAGCAGCAATCCCAGGCTGTGGTTTTCAGGTCCATGGGACAGCCTTGTGATGATCTCAGTGACCCCACAGAGCTGCTGTGACAACAAACACGGCCCCACTTGGCTGCTGCAGCCCTGCTGAGCTGAGCTTTGTGAGATTGTGAGTTTGAGTTTGAGCTGTGTTTGTTACAGCCTCCCTCCAGCACAGCAAAACAAGGCAAGGAATTGAGAATTACAGGTGGGAGAGCTCGGTGGGGCTGCTCAGCTCTCCCAGATTGGAGCAGTGGGACATTAAAGCCACGCTCACCTGGCCAGGACCGGCTGCCAGAACCTCCCAGGGCTCCTGGGGTGTCCCCTGGATGTTCCCAAAGCAGAGCTGCTGCTCCTGCAGCCTCTGACACTCATTTGAGCATGAACATGTTGCTCATCTAATGTTTCTACAAACAGTTCGGGACCTGCCAGGCTTTTCTCTCCATCACAGCCAGGGAAACTTCTATTTTTCTTCTTCTTTTCATGCTCAGAAGGATCATTAATTTTAACCTTCTGTAAACAACAAACCCTTCTCCTCTCCCAGCCAAGTTTCCCGGCGCCATCTAGTGTCACCCCCACCCTTCCCTGTCCCTGGGAATTGTCACCTCCCCGGGATTTAACTGCAAGGAGATGGAAAACCGAAGCCACCACACCCACAGGGGTTGCTTTGGGACCGAGTCCTGACACCCAACCCTACATCCTCCTGTCTGGAGGGTTCCAGAAGGATGTTTTATCCCGAAATATCTTTGTAGAGCTGTGCTCTTCCAAAGTTGTTTTTCAGCTGAGCTGTTTGGGAGGGATTCCTCTCCCACCAAAAAAAACCCAAAAAAAACAGAAAAGAGTTTTTTTAACACACAGCCCAATCCTAAAGAACATCAGGAAAATCACAGCTCCATCCCACTGGAACTGCTGCTGGAAATCTGTGTCCTAAATTCCTAAATCTGTGTTTTCCTGGCACTGAGGGCTCCCCTTTCTCTCCTTGCAGTGGCATGAGTTGGAGCTGGGGCTGGGCATCCGCTGGAAGCAGCATCTTGGCAGAATTTGGGACCTTGCACCTGGAATTCCTGCACCTCTCTGAGCTCTCTGGCAACCCAGTGTTTGCAGAAAAGGCAAGTAACCCCCAGTGGATTGGCTTTTTCATCCTCCTGGGGTGTTTTTCCCAGTTTGGGTGAAGTTTTACCCCAGAGAAGGGCACGGCCAAAGTGTGGATCCATCAGGTGGGTGCAGATCCCTCAGGAACAATCTCAGGTTGTTCCAGGCAGAATCCAAACTTTCCCCATGAGCCCAGGGGATGTGGGGCTTGTCCAGAGTGCCACAGTGGGGTAAAAACAGACAGAATTGCCAAAAAAACCTCTAAAAAATTATTATTTTCCAGGATATGTCCAGTCAGCTGTGAAACAAGGAGGGAATTTGAAGGAGAGGCAGGAAAAAAAAAAACAGAGGAGGAAGAAGCTGGGAGAGCAAAGTGGAGCTAGGATGGAGTGGATGGAAAGTAGTGAGAGTGGGATGAGCAAAAGAATGTCACAGAGGAGGGAAAAGCAGAGGGTGAAGGGAAACAGGAAGCTCTGGGAAGATAAAGAGAGGCTGCTGATGTGAAATAAAGAGACAAGGCTGAGGTTCCTGAGGACAGGGATAATGACAAATCGCTCCCAGGGAGGAGGGAGCTGAGGAGAGGCCAGGAAAGGGAGCAGTGCTGTGGAGAGAAAATGTGTGAGGAAATAAAGGGGATGAAGGGAGGGGAGAGGTGAGGAAACACTGGAGATGCACTGCTCAAAAGCAGAATTGCATCTTCATTCTGGGTTCAAACCATGGCATTTTGAGGCAGGGTCAAACCTCTGTCCCCAGCTGAAGAGATTTTCCTCTTCTCCTCCTAAGCCCATGGAGGGAAAAGGGCAAAACCTTTCTGATGGGCTCTCCTGGGCTGATGTGTGCACAGCAAATGGATCAGAGAGGGAAAATGTGGGATGGTATGGGCTCTAACAGCCCAGCCTGTGGGAAATTCCTGCAGAGGAGCAGATCAACTCGTGAACTCCCAGCTTGGGACTTGGGTGATTTTTAGGAGGAATTCAAGTCCATCTGTGTCTTTTATTCAAACCTGTCATTAATATGCCAAGCTCCTAAACTCCAGTAAATATTATGGAGCCTGACAACTTCCTTGGAAGCACAGGATTAAGCCTGTAGCCAGCTTTTGGCGTGCAAATTGTCTGATTTTGTAAAAGGTTTAGGGCGAATTAGCTGCTCTGTAGGTTATAATAGAATATTTATGCTGCATGGAATTTAACTGGGTCCCTTAAGGGAAAGGCCTATTGGATTTAATGGGGGTGAAACCAAGGGAGGCTTTAGAGAGTTAAGTGCTGGCTGTTCTGGGGTATTAAAGGAACTGTCTGTTGTTGAAATTAAAGGCCCCAATTCATCACGTTAAGTGACCACATGGTGAATTTAAGTGCTGTGTGAGTCACTCATCCCTGCCACTCCTTTCCCTTTAGATCATGGAAAAAAATCACCCCTGGCATTGCTCACATCTCCCATTTTCACCCAGGTCCCCAATCACAGAATCAGATTTGGGTTTGGAAGGAACCTTAAAGCTCATCCCACTCTACTCCTGCCATGGCAGGGACACCTTCCACTGTCCCAGGAGCTCCCAGCCCTGTCCAGCCTGGCCTTGGGCACTGCCAGGGATCCAGGGGCAGCCCCAGCTGTGCCAGGGCCTGCCCACCCCCCCAGGGAGGAATTTCATCCCAATATCCCATCTAAACCTGATCTCCTTCACCTTGAGGCCATTCCCCCTCATCCTGTCACTCCAGACCCTTGGGAAAAGTCTCTCTCCACTTCCCTGTAGCCCCTTTAGGTATTGCAAGGACAAAGTCTGCCAGGATTGCTTCTGGACCATGGTAGAGAGCTGAACTGGGGCTCTGCAGAGTTCCCAGAACCATTTGTGAAACCCCACAGAGCTGGATAAAGATTGGGCTGAGCCCTAAAGCCTCTCCCTCCCTGAGCCGTGTCCTGATCCCATTCCAGGCTGCTGTGCTGGGATCAGGGCAGGAATCGGGGCAGGAATCGGGGCAGGAATCGGGGCAGGGATCAGGGCAGGGATCGGGGCAGGGATCAGGGCAGGGATCGGGGCAGGGATCGGGGCAGGGATCAGGGCAGGGATCAGGGCAGGGATCAGGGCAGGGATCAGGGCAGGGATCAGGGCAGGGATCGGGGCAGGGATCAGGGCAGGGATCAGAGCAGGGATCAGGGCAGGGATCAGAGCAGGGATCAGGGCAGGGATCAGGGCAGGGATCAGAGCAGGGATCGGGGCAGGGATCAGAGCAGGGATCAGGGCAGGGATCAGGGCAGGGATCGGGGCAGGGATCGGGGCAGGGATCAGGGCAGGGATCAGGACAGGGATCAGGGCAGGGAATGGGGAGCGAGGGTCCAGCCCTGAGCCCAGCAGTCAGCCCAGCCTTGTCTCTCCTCTCTCCTCTCTCTCCAGGTGATGAACATCCGCAGGGTGCTCAGCAGAGTGGAGAAGCCGCAGGGCCTTTACCCCAACTTCCTGAGCCCGGTGACGGGGAGCTGGGTGCAGCGTAGGTATCACCCCACCTCCCCTCCTGCCTGCACCTTTCCAGCCTTCCCATCCCTCCCCAGGAAACAGCAAGCAGTGCCAGGCTGTGGCACAGGAGACAGCCCAGCTTTGCCGGGTGCAGGGCAGGAATTGTGCACTTGCAGCTGCGTGTCCCAGCTCCAGAGAGAGAAGCAGGGGGTGATGGCACACTCTCCATCCCACTGATCCTGCCGTCAGCACAGAGCCCAGGGGGAGCACACCGAGATTCCCCTGCATTCCAGGAACCACCTGGAGAGCCAAAGGGCTTGGAGGAGCCTCGGATCCCCCTCAGATCCAGGGATGAATTCTCCTGTGCATGGTTCCTGTTACCATGGTACCTCTGCAGAGAGCCGTTTGGGAAGGAAGGATGAGATGAGGTTTTCTTCTCTCCTGTTGGGAGCCCAGCACTGGAGATGTGGCACTGGGGAGATGCTGCTCTGCTGGGCAAGGGGAGCAATAATCAGGGAAGGTCTGGGAGACAGCAGGGGAATTCTGGAAGCACACAGGGAAAAGACTGTGCCCCTCCTCTCAGAAGTTTGTCCTGTGGTGGGAGCAGGAGATGGCACTTCTGCAGCTCTGACCTCTAAACCTCCACTTTCTGCTCTGTTATTGATCTGCTGGTTTTGGCTGCTGGATTTGATGTTGTCAAAGAAAAGTCTCTTTCTGCAGAGACTGGTTTGAGCCTGTCAGTGGTGACATTTGTTATCCAGGCAGGTTACTCTGAGCCCTTGCATTACCTGGTGTCCCCGTGCTTTGTTGCACTTTTTGCTGGGCTGGATCTCTCCAGACCTTTCCCACTGCTGCTTTTATGGCTCTGGTGGCAACAGGCAGGGTCAGAGCTCTGGCTGTGAGCAATCCCTGACCTTTCACTGGCAGGGCTGCTCCCAGCAAGGTGTCTGGGATGGTCACAATTGTGCCATTAAACCAGAGCTGCCCTTTGCTGCTGTGAGGAAGCCCTCATCTCTTCTGCCACCAACTTAATTCTTAAACAGACTTCACTGCATTGCCCTGAACTTGCTGATGGAAAGAGAGGCCTGTTGGTGCTTTTAAGAGCACATTAAAAGCAGCCTCTGATTGTTTGTGTTGGGACAGGCAGGTTCCTGCCAGAGGAAATTTCCCGGCTCCAGACAGACTTTCACAGGCTGTTTGTGGCAGTGGCTCAGGATCTGACCTTGGGAAATGATATCCCAGGGAGGGAGAAGAATGATCAGCCCCTTGTGCATCTCCAGTGCTGCTGGGGAGAAACAGATGAGGACCAGAGCAGGGAGGCATCTGCAGCCTCCTCCCCGGAGGGGCCAGGCCCTCATTTTCTCTCTTGCCATTAAAGCTCTTCGCAGGAAGCTGTTTTCCTTGAAATTGCTGTGATTTTCTTAAAAGGTGTATCTTTGACCTGGCTGAATGAGTGGATGCTGTAAATGAGGAGTGCAGTTGTTACCTCTGGGAAATGGAAGCCCAGTCCCCTGCTGAAGGACTTATTTATTGATGCAGAGTGCCTGGGAGGCAAAGGCTGCCAGGGCTGCTGCCATATGGAAAGCAATTATGTAGCAGGGCTGCAGCTTTGGTGAGTTTATGAATGACACACTCAGGATCACAGAGCTGCTCTTTAAAGGCAGGCTGTGCTTGCAAATCCTCTGCCCTCTCTCCTCGCACGGAGGCCGGGTGTTTAATCTCATTGTTTTGCTAGGGATTATTCCCTGGATCATTGGACACAGTGTGTCAGGGATGTTTGCTCTTCAGGTCAGGAAAATGATGCATGGCTGTTGGTTTCTGCTGCTGGGAGGATTCAGCATTTGGAATAAGCCTCGGGGACTTTTATCTGTGTACAAGGAGAGGGGAAACAAAAATCTGAGCGGCTCTGAACACGTGCTTAGCTGGGAAATGAGGGCCAGGGGTGGACACCGTTAATTAACAGGGATGGTTCAGTCCAGGGAGGGTAATTTGTCTTGCTCTCCTAAAAATGGGAGTGCTTGACTGCTTTAAAAAGTGAGAACGCTGCTGTTTCCCCCTGAGGCGCAGTTTGGAGCTGTAAAGCCATCCAGCAGCTCCCCCCAGGCTCAAACCTGCAGCTGTCAGGCCCATTTCACACTGCAATTCCTCAGCACCTCCTGGAAGGTCAGAGCAGGGGCTGCTCTTCAGCAGACAGCCTCAGAAATTTGATTTCTGCAGAGGAAAATATGCAGTGCACATCCCTGTACCTGACTTTATCATTTTAATGTGCCAGCAACCCCCCAGCCTTCCCCAGGGCTCCGAGTCCCTCCGTGAGCCAGGAATACAAATGGCATAGCCAGGAGTGTCTCCACAGCCCCTTGCTGGCAGCTCTGTGGGATCCAAACACCTCTCCTTCCTTTCCTGAGGCAGGGAGACAGCTCCCAGGGGCTCCATCCAGATGGAAATCTATCAATTCCCACCCCTGCTTTTGGTTTATGAGGGTGGATTTATGATGATGGCTCCATAAACAGGAAGCATCTTCACGCAGAATAAATAACTTGTAAAATAAGGCCTCTGAATGGTTCTGGTAAGGGATACTAATGCTCTGGAAAATGACAGAACATTTTTCTCCTGATTGCACTTTCCACCTTTCTTGCTTTCTGAAAAGCAAATGCTGCAAGCTCTCCCCAGGAAGCTGGGAAGAGGAAGGAGAGAACAAGGGCATTAAATAGGACGTGATTGTTTCTCCTTTGTAAAACAGCTGCTCATTGTATATCATGAACCTGAAGCTCTCTCCTGGCTTTCCCACCACAGACCACGTCTCCATCGGGGGGCTCGGGGACAGCTTTTATGAATATCTCATCAAATCCTGGCTGATGTCAGACAAGAAGGACTCTGAAGCTAAAAAGATGTACGACGACGCCTTGGAGGTGAGGAGCCAGGTGCTGCTCTGTGGTTTTTGGGAAGGACGTGGTTCATAAGAAGATTTCAGACCTTCAGAATAAATCTCTGGGTTTCCTTGGTACCCACTCCTGTCACTAAAGTAACACTGAGAAAGTTTTACTTACTGTCCACTCTCTCAAAACCCTGATTTTCATCCTTGATTTTCATCCTTGATTTTCATCCTTGATTTTCATCCCTGATTTATTTTCATCCCTTTAGGCAATAGAAAAACATTTGGTGAAAAAATCTGCAGGAGGCTTGACCTACATCGCTGAGTGGAGGGGTGGCATCCTGGACCACAAGATGGGCCACTTGGCCTGCTTCTCTGGGGGCATGATTGCCCTGGGGGCCGAGCACGCTGCGGAGGAGAGGAGGCAGAGGCACATGGAGCTGGCAGCAGAGATCACCAGCACCTGCCACGAGTCCTACACACGCTCAGGTAACCGGGGACACCGGGGCTCTCCCTGCTGTGCCTTCCCTGGGGTGTGTGGAAGGGACAGAGCAGCTGGGGCAGAGCTGGGAATGGACCTGGGGCTCAATGGGCCAGCTCCAGGCTGTCCTTCCACATCCCTCTGCCCCCAGGAGAGGAGGATTAGCAGGGGTTAACTGCAGAGTGTCCCTTTATGGAGCTGAGAAGCCCAGCAGGGCAGTGCTGGAGCCCTGCAGCTGAGAGGGGGGAGCGGGAAAATGGAATTCCTGAGCTTCTCCAACTCTCTGAGTCTTCGTTTCACAAGCTCAGGACAATTTCTTTCACCCCCCAGAGCTGTGGAGGGCAGTGAGGGGCTGGGTTGGTTCCCTGCCTGCAGGAGCTGCTCAGGACACCCGTCCTTTCTTTGTAGGCATCTCTGCAGCTCCTGGGAGGCTGCAGGCAGCTGAGGCAGCTCTCCAGGACCTTGTCAGGCCCAGGTCTGTCCACAGCTGCATCCAGGGATTGTTCCACACCTTCCCCACACACCAGCCAGCCCAGTTTGGTGCCCAGCATGTTTGCCCAATACACTCCAAGCTAACCTGAAATGATGTTTGCAAATAACTCTTTTTGCCCCCCCTGCAGCTCTTACAGAACTAAACCATCTGAACTAACAAACCTGTGGCTGTGAGTGCCTGGAGCCAATTTTCACCATCAGCACAGAGAGGACAGCAAGCTGCCCATGCTGCTCCAGCTCTGGTAGCTCAGCAGAGAGTGGCCCCCAGCTCCCAGCAAACACTGCAGGGCCCAGGGAAGGTCTGCAGAGTCATCAGAGGGAGATCATGAAGCACAGCACCGGGGCAGACACAGCCAGGGGCATGACCACAGAATTATGGAGTGGTTTGGGCTGGAAGGGACCTTAAAATCCATCCCAATCCACCCCCTGCCAAGGGCAGGGACACCTTCTACTCCCCCAGGCTGCTCCCAGCCCCATCCAGCCTGGCCTTGGGCACTGCCAGGGATCCAGGGACAGCCACAGCTGCTCTGGGAAACATCATGAACAAGTTGGTGTCGAAAGCAGGGATCTGAATGCTGGATAATGCTCACAAGAGACAGATTCTTCACCAAACATCAACATACTCCTGATGTTCTGTTCATAAAAGCAGCGCAGTTGGCTGAGCCCTTCCCATCATCCCAACCCCTTCTCTCCAAAGGCAGAAGAAAAGGTTTAACAAAGCCTTAGCTAAACACCGGCATCCTGAGCAGCATGAAAGCACCTGGCTGCTGCCTCTGCTTGTGCTGCCCTCCCAGTGACAGTTTTTGTGTCTGTGCTTCTCCCCAGACACCAAGCTGGGCCCCGAGGCATTCCGCTTCGACGCGGGGAGCGAGGCCATGGCCACACGGCTCAGCGAGCGCTACTACATCCTGCGGCCCGAGGTGGTGGAGAGCTACATGTACCTCTGGAGGCTCACCCACGACCCCAAGTACAGGCACTGGGGCTGGGAGGTGGTGCAGGTAAGGCTGCAGAGGCCGTGGGGCTCTGGGTTGCTGCAGTCCCAATAAAATCTTCGCTTGGGTCAGTGGAAGGAGCGGGAATTATTTCAGTTGTGCTGAACATTGAGATACGTGAGAAGTGCTCAAGGTCAGGTTGTGTGGGGTTCTGAGAAGCTTGGGCTGGTGGAAGGTGACCCTGTCCACGGATCTGGGTGATTTTTAAGGTTCCTTTCAACCCAAATTGTTCTCAAACCCACAAGCAGGAATACTCAGAGTGCCTCAGTTCAGTGTGTTCTCCCCACTGTGGGTGTTTCCTGTGCACTGCCAGCAGCCCATCAGGCAGCTCAGGTGTTCCATCGGAGCCAGGCTGATTCCCAGAGTGTGGAGAAACCCTGCTCTCCTCAGGGAGGGACAGGAGCTGCGTTTGGGATGCAGCCCACGGTGCTGGATGGGGGTTGCTGAGCTCTGTGTTCCTGCCCCAGGCCCTGGAGAAGCACTGCAGGGTGGAAGCTGGCTTCTCCGGCATCCGAGACGTTTACACCACCACGCCCAGCCACGACAACATGCAGCAGAGCTTCTTCCTCGCAGAGACTCTGAAGTAAGTCTGGGCTCACAGGGGCCTCCCTGAGCAGCACAATTCCTGCAGCAGCTGCTTCAAGGGCCCCAGATAATAAAGGGGAAGTCTTCTCTCCCAGGCAGGCAGAGGAGCTTTCAGGATCTTTCCAACCCAAGCCATTCTGGGGGGAAACTGGGCAAGTTTTGGGAAGCTTTGGGAGTTTCCTGCTGCAGAACCTCTGCTGCCGTTGGCTCCTGGAGGTTCCTGCTGGGTTTGAAGGGCTCTGCTGTGATCCAGAGCTGGGTGAAGTGGGAAGGGTGGGGATTTTCCAGGGAGCTGGGAATGTGTCACGCCTACAGAGGTAGCAGCCCCACCACATCCTGCTGCCTGTGCCTGCCTGGAGTCCCTGCTGAGCTCCTGTAACCCCTCCTGTCGCTCTCCTGTGGCTGCAGGTACCTCTATCTTCTGTTCTGTGAAGATGACGTGCTGTCCCTGGAGGACTGGGTGTTCAACACCGAGGCTCATCCCCTGCCCATCAACCACACGGACTTTAAAGCAGCGGCGCAGCCCTGAGGCCCCTGCCCAGCCCCTGCTCCCCCAGCCTGGGCAGACTCTGCTTTTCCTTTCCATTGAAGGAATTCCTCTTGTTCCTGAAATGGTATTTGGGGGCACTAGTCCAATTCCGGACAGTATTTTCTTGGGAAGATGAACCATGACTAAGCACCTTCTTTTCCTCTGTGAGGAGCTCTACTAGGCTGATGATGAGATGTTTATTCTGGGCCATACACAGTTCATAGACATTCCTTTATACAGAGAATTTATATGAAATCCACTGATTTTGCTTTATAGTGGCCAAAGGACTGGAAGTTTGCCATAAAATAGACTTTACACACACACTCTCACACTCATCCTCCTTTCCTTTCTCTGTTTCATTTCTGCTCTTGGATTTATCACCTTCCCAGTGACCAGTTCTCACCATTCTGGGCTTTGGGGGCTCTTCAGGAGGGACAGGGGAACGAGGAAGGGCTGTTGTCCTTGGTGTGGGAGAGCAGCTGGAATTCTTGGGGATGGCTGAGGAGCCAGCTGAGAGCTCAGCAGTGAAGAGAGGACAGGGAAAGGTGATGTTTTACTGGGAAAATTTAGAGGATCAAACCCTCCCACAAACAGGAGCAGCCTCAGGTTGGAATTTGCAGATTTCAGGCCCTGCTCCTCCTGGGGGATTTGAACCACTCTGATCCCTGCTGGAGGGGTAACTCAGCAGGACAGGAGCAATCCAGGAGCTCCTGGGGTGGACTGGTGATGAATTCCTCCTCCAAGGGACACAGGAGCCAACAGAGGGGCTCTGCTGGCCCCAAAATGAAGATCCAAGGCAGGTCTGGCTGCAGTGGCCATGGATGGTGAGTTCAGGATCCTCAGAATTGTAACTAAACCAAAACTTGGCTGCAAAATCCTTGCTCCTGATGTATTTTTATATACTTTTTTTTTTCCGTGCTCTTAAAACACATTTACCACCCATCACATCTCATTTAACTTTCCTTTATCCTTTTTTTTTTCTTGTGTTTTTCTACTTTTATTTGGAACTAAATGTTACGAGTCACTTGTAATAATTTTACTGCTGTAATAGTCAGATCTGTGAAACAGAATAAAAGTCTTGTAAAATAAAAAGCCTGTTGGGGTTGATCCTGTAAAAGACCAGTTACTCCATGCTTGGAACAAGACAATACTGGTGGATTTAAAGAGTTTTGTGCAGTAGAAGTTGATTTCTAGGGGAATCTGGGCAGTGTTTGACAGCAAATCCCAGCTCTCTTAAACTGCTGGATCTGGGATCAGCATTCCCTCTGATCACTGCAAAGTTTTGTGGCCCTGGGGGATGGAACATTTTTGTTCATTCTTGTGACATCCTCGTGACAATTGGTTCATTCAGCAGCTTGGGGGGAAAAATAAAGTTGCTTTGAGCAAGTTGTGAAAACAGAAAATGTTGTTTCTAAATTCCTGCCTTTGTAATTCCCCGAGAGAAATAAGATTGTCAGATGGGGACTTAGCATTATCCCAGGGATAAAGCTGCTGCCTGGTAAGCCTGGCCTAGAGGAATGGTTATTGGTAAATAAACATCTCGGGAGTGAGCTGTGTTATCCGGGAGATTTGGGGATGGGGAAGCTCTTGTAGCTCAGAGGATTTTGATAATGGATTAAGGGAATTTCTTAAATAAGAACAGCCTGCTTTTGGAATAACATGGAACGCTGCCTGGCAGAATTTAACCCCCCAAAACAAACAGTGTGGTTCTGGTTTCCTTCGGGAACAGATCCTGCTGGTACACGAGAGCTCCACGGTTGGTTTCCATTTCCCAGTGAGTGGGAGCATCCCTCACCCTTCCAGAGGAGGTTTCCTGCAGCTCAGTGGCCTCACCACAGACCAGGAGGTGTTGGAGCTGCCCTGCAGAGCCAAAGCTGATCCCTGACTCTGCTCCCAGGAGCTCCATGCCAGGCAGGGCAGAAGCTTTTGGCTGCAAGTGGCCACGCTCCGATGGTGCCAAGGCAACTCTGCAAATTCCCCTGCCTGGGCTCCCAGATATCCCCTGGAATCCCCAGGGATTAACCACAGGCATCGAGCTCAGCGTGGCTGTGTTTAGCAGGAGTTAAGATTTACTCCCAGGATCAGCTTTGTTCCAAGGCCTGGCCTTGATCCATACCAGGGATCTTTCTGTCCCGCAGCCCTGCAGGGATGTGTGTCCTGCTGGTGCCTTGAAATGCTGCTGCTCCTCCCTTCCCCGAGCCTTGGCTGGATGCTCCTGCCTGTGGGAGCAGGGGATGGATCCCACCCCAAATTCCTCCTGACAGCTGGGATTTTCCTGCCCAGAGGGAACCCCTTGGCTTCCAGACCTGGAGCAGGTGAGTAAATGGATTTACACCGAACCAGAGGTCTGGCTGTAAATGCCCCATGGAAGGGATGTGGGGAGATGTGCGTCCTTCAGCTGCTCTCCTGCCTTCCAGTCTCAGCTATGTGGGAATTTTATTATTTTTTGGTCTTTTTTTCCTGCTTGGAGTCACCAGGCAACGCCACCAGCCAGGGCTATTCCCCTGGAACATTCCACTTCTACTTCAGAAGCTGTGATTACCATCTTAATTTTCACCATCAGAGCTTGTGGCCCTCCTTTGTATCAGAAGGAATCTCCTGTAAATGAAGTTCTGATAACAGAAAGTTGCATCAGTGGTGGAGGTGAAAACTCTTCCCTATCACTTGTACAACCACAGGCTGCTGTTGCCTGGCCTGCACAGAGATAAGACAAAACCGTCCAGAAAACAAATGCACCTTTTTCTAACCCACACTTCATTTTAACAGCATTATTAAATTCCCTGGGAAGGCTTTCAGCAGAATTGGTTATTGGATTCAAAAGCCTGGCAGCCAGAGTATTTTTCCACATAGGTTTTGATCTGATCCTTTCATCTGATTGTTTCACTTGTGATGCACGAGCCCTGGCTCCAGCACCAGCAGAGTCCCAGCAGCTCCTCTGAGCACGTTTAGGGCTTTGTTCCCTGAGGAGCCTCCAAAGGAATCATGCTGGAGTCAGGAACCCTCTCCACAAAACTCCTGCTTTGTAAAGGATTTTGTTTAGGGTTGGCCACGGAGAAGTTGGGAATGCAAGACACAGGAATTGGCTCCTGCTCTGCAGCTGAAGGGTTTGAAATGTCTCAAACTTCCATTTCCTTTGCTGGCCATGCTTTTTCTGGGATGAATTCTCTGGTTTCCATGCCTGTGAAGCTTTATCACCTCTGGTTTTCTTGTCCCCTTCCAACCAGGCCTGGATTCTTCTTGTTCCTCCGAGTTTTTCACCCCTGCTGCTACCAACCCCTCACCATTTCCTTATTTTCAGCCCAACTTTCTCCCTTCTCACCAAGGGGAAATCTGGGATAGTTTTTCCTGCTGGGTGGAAATCTTCCCTGTTATTATCTTTTAGGATTCCCTTTGATCCAGGTGTGCCTGGGTGGGCCCCACAGCAGATGTGTGGATATTTAACATTCTTCCCATGTGCTGTAATCCCAGGACCCAGCAGTGGAGAGCCAAGAGCTGTTGGGTTTCTTCTCTTTTGAGGAGCAACAGCCAACCTGAATTGTTTCACTTTTTGTCTTTCATTCTCTTTCCCATCAAATAATTCCCCCGTTTCTCATCTTTATGTGGCAGCTGGTGGCATTGGAAATGGTTCAGGTGTAAAATGAGCCCTTCCACCTCTCATCATCCAAACAGAATCACCTCAGCTCTGCCAGGTCCCCTCCACCAGCTCCTGCTCATTCCCCAGACAAACCAGGACATTTATCCTGTTCCAAACCCATCCCACCCTGCTCCACTCTGTGCTTGGAGCTGGGTTATTCCAGGCCAGCAGCTCTGCACCCCTCGCTGCCCAGCCTAACGAGCCCGGCAGGTTTTAAAGCACATCTGCTCCCAGTGCTGAGCTCATCCCCACCTGTCCCTGCTCCCAGACGTCATTTCCACGCTCTGCTAATCCTGTTCCTCCCCACAGCCCAGGCCACCATCGGGTTCTTTATGGAGCAGAGTTTCAGGGAAGTTTTCTGCTGTGGTGCAGCTGGCAGAAGGAACTTCCCCCTGCTTCCCTCAGTGCAACAACCCTGATGTAAATCATGAAAATCCCACTTGGTTCCACTGCTTCTCTGCTTGGTCCCATCCTCATCCTCCATCCTCCTCTCTTAATGGCTTGGTCATGCTCTGGCTCATCTCCATCTTGAGAGTTCTTTAAACCTAAAACAAAAACGATTAGGCAGGCTTAGGGTACAGCAGAGCTTCAAAGGATTAAACGCTGATGCTTTCTGCTCCCCTCGGAGAGATCAAACACTCGGTGCTGCAGAAATCTCCCCCAGCAATCGGGGATTGCAGCGGGATTGGAAGCACAGAGGAGCAGAAGGATGAGGTATGGGGAGGGATTAAAATGAATAAATATGTGTGTCTTGGCCCAGCCACCGCTAAGGGACAATCTGGAGGGAGCCGAAGGGCACTGAAAACATGGAGAGGTTGAGAAGTTTGGGGTGGAAATGACCCAAAAATGTGGTGTGGTGGTAAAAATGACCCAAAATGCGGGGATGATGCTGGAGACAGGAGGCTGAGCATCATCACCCCAAGGCTGCCAAGTCATTCTCATCCCCTAATTCTCATCCCTAGGGCTCCAACCTCAGTGGAATCACTGCAAGTGAACCCACTGATACCTGTTTTGTTAAAAAGAAATACCCATTTCAGTCAGCTCTAACCAAGTAGAAGCGCAGGATACGGCTGGTTTTGGGAAGTGCAAGACAAGTTCAGGGTTTTGTTCTTTGTGGAAAGAGCTTAATTAAGGACGAAATGTCACAGTGGAAGTGTGGGGATGGACACACACACCTCTTTCTTGATGAAGACAAAGTCCTTGGAGACCAGAGGAGAGGGTTCACCTCTCCAAGAGCCCTCAGCAGAGACATTTCAACCTAAAAAGTGTTTTTTCCTGAACGAATGCCCCTTATTTAACACTAAAAAAGAGACTTCCCCTAACCGTGCGACGGGGATTCAACACTAAAATATATTTTTTCCTTAGCGGGTGCCGGTCATTCATCGGGTGCCTCCTCACAACGAGGTTTTCCCTGAGGGACCGATGGCCATTTAACACTAAAATACGTTTTTCCCACACTGCCTGCCGGTGACTTAACACTAAGAACAGCTTTCCCCTGTCGGAGCTGCGATGATTTAACCCTGGAAAGGATTTTTTTTCGACGGCCGGGTCCCCCGGGGCGGCCACGGCCCCTCCTCGCCCGCCTGACGCCTCCCCCGGCCGGGCGGCCA